ACTTCGCGCGACAGGTCACTAGTAACAAAATAACAGCGACTGGGGGGCTTAAACAGCAGGAATTTATTTTCTCACATTTCTGGAGCCTGAAGGTCCAAGAGCAAGGTGCAGCCAGGGCAGTTTCTCCTGAGGCCTCTCTCCTCGGCGTGCAGATGGCCAGCCACCTGCGTGCTGTGCCCCTCCATGGCCTTTCCTCGGTGTGTGCACACCCCCAGGGTCTCTCCCCTTATAGGACGCCAGTCCTCTTGGGACCTCATGTAACTTTATGTCCTTACAGGCCCCATCTCCAAACACATTCACACAGGGGCTGAGGGCTTCAGCATGGATGTTGGAGGGACACAATTCCGTCCCTATAGCAGGCGTCTTCTCTCTCTCCTCTAGGAACAGGAGCTCTCTACACTGTCAGGAGAGGGTGACTTCTAACAGGAAATGGCACCTTCTCTTCTTTACCTTCCCATGTGTCTGCGAAGGAGCCATAGAGACCCCGGACACCTCACTCAGCTAGAGACAGGAGACATAGCCACGAATTCCACCTGTTTCCCAGGAGGGAAGAAACACTGCCATAGGGTGTTGGTGCTGAGGCTCTTGAGAGTCCAGCCACACAGGGGATTGTCCCACGTTTCTCCCACAATAGTCCTGACGTCCCAACTGCTGTAGGGACACATATTAGCTTCACACCACCCCCTGCTGCCCCACCCCAGTGACCACAGCCCCCTCCCTGCAGCACCCGTGGTAAAGAAAGACCCGACCGTGGAGCAGGCCCTCTAGTGGGTGAGAGATGAAACAACAACTTGACACAATAAATACAGAGAAGAGAAAGCAGGAAAAAGACAGAGAAGGTGATGGGGGCATGTCTTAAGTAGGAGGGTGGCTAGAAAGCTTCCCTGGTAAAGGGTTTGAGCAGGGGCCGGACGGAAGAAGGGGACCATGTAGAAAGAATAGTCCTGGCAGAAGACACAGCCCGAGCAGAAGCCCTGAAGGAGACTGCTCCTGGCATGTTGGAGGGATAGTGAGAAGGTCGATGTGGTTGAAACAGTGAGCGAAGGCGGATTGTGTAGGACCCTGTGAACTTGGACCATCACCCTGACTGAGGTAGAGCGGCGGAGGGCTCTGAGCAGAGGAGCCACCTGCTGACTCAGGTGCTCACCGGTGCCGTCCGTCCGGCAGCTGTAGGAGGGAGAGGAAGACCTGGGCAGAGGCGACGGCGCTGGTCCAGGCAGCTCCTCTTCCCATCACCTCCAGAGTCACGTGGGCGAAGATGAGTGGAAGTTCCGGAGAATGCCTGGCAGATGTCTGTGCTCGGACCCACACCTGCTGAGAGGGAGAAGCTGGGCCAGGTGTCAGGGGCAGTGCTAGGAAAAGGAGGCGTGGGGAAGGCTGGGAGCGGGGCGGCCCACGGGGAGTGCAGGCAAAGCGGAGTGTGAGCTCTGCCCGCACAGGGCAGCTGTTCAGCCTGCATGCCCAGTGGATGGTTGTTAAAACACTGAAGTGCTTTTCTGGTGGCTGGGAGCCAGCCCCTGCCCTTCCCCCAGATCTCCTAGACCTCCTCCCACAGTCCAGCAACTACAAAGTGAAAGTTTGGCCAGGACAGAGGGGGAGGGAAGGAGGAGGCACAGGGGGACTGGTGTATAAAGGGGCCACGTCCACAGTGAGCAGGGGCCTTGGGACCCGTGCTCCAGCTCTGTTATCAATGTCCCTTTCATGCCTGCCAGTAAGTGTATGGAACACGCCCCTGTGACCTCTTGTTGATGTGTGCCCTCTGGTGGCCGTGGGGAGTAAGGGCGGAGCGGGGAGACCTGAGGGGAGGATACTGCCCTGGTTAAGGTGGGAGATTGTGGGGCCCAGGGTTGAAAGCTCTGAAAGGGAAGTAGGAGCAGAGGCCAAGCTGGTGTATTATTCAGGATGGACAAGAATGTGCTGCCGTAACAAACAGCCCCACAGTCTCACACCGACACAGGTTTGCTTCCCACTCCCACTCATGGGTCTTTCCTGGCTTGTCAAGGGGACTCTGTTCATCAGTCACTTAGGGGCCAGGCCTGAGAAAGCCACTGTCCCTCATGTCACCAGCCATCGTGACAGAACAAAAGAGAACCCAGAAGGGTCATTCACTGGCCATTAAATGCCCAAAGCGACACCTCACTCGGCTCACACCTCATTGGCAAGAACTCATCACATGGCCCCAGCCAATCACGGGGTCCAGTAGGGGCCACACTACCATGTACTCAGGCAGGAATCGCTGGGAGCAGGAATTGCTGACAGAGCCTTAATGACCACCTGGCAGGGGAGAGCAGGCTTGGTTGAGGGAGAAACCTCTATCAGAACTGCTCTGTGGCTTTGCAGCCTCCCTGGGGCTTCCCCAGGCCTCGCCACAGACCGATGCTGCTGTGGTAACAGTCCTATGGCCCACACTGTCCTAAGGCTGCACGCATATTAACTACTTTAATCATCAGACAACTCAGTGAGGCCCTGGCCACTGTGCCTCAGTTGGTGGGCATTGTCCCAGGCACCAAAAGGTTGCCGGTTCGATTCAAGGGTAGGGCACATGCCTGGGTTATAGGTTCAACCTCCCATGGGGTGCAGGGTTGCAGGAGGCAGCCAATCAATGTTACTCCCTCACATTAATGTTTCTCTCTCTCTCTCTCTCTCTCTCTCTCTCTCTCTCTCTCTAAAAATCAACGATAATATTTTTTTAAAACTCAGTGAGGCAGGAACAATTGCTATCATCCCCATTTCGCAAATGGGGAGAATGAGGCACAGAGCAGTGGACTAACACCTAATGCAGTTGGAGTCAGGTTTTGACCGGGGCCACCCAGCCCCTGTCGATGCTGAACTATCCCCCCACGCAGCTTCTCCACAGCCCTGTCCCTGCCAAGGACCAGAGCCCCATGGTCATGTCCCCCTGGGCCAGCTGCACTGGGCACTGGGACCCGTGGGAGCCAGGACTCCAGAGCACTGGGTCGGCAGGAGCTGCTGGCTCGGTGACTGGCCTAAAGGCCAGCAGGTGCTCAGGCAGGCAGGCGACCAGGCCTCTCTGTGCCCGCATTGCAGGAGGGGCCGACAAACAGCAGATGGACGCCGAGCTACGGAAAGAGATGATGGCCATCTGGCCCAACCTGTCCCAGAAAACACTGGACCTGCTGGTTACGCCTCATAAGTGTAAGAGCCCAGACCGGCCTGGCCCGGGCCCAACCCAACAGGACAGAGGGGGAGGGAAGGAGGAGGCACGGAGGACGGGTGCATGCAGGGGCCCCGTCCGCAGTGAGCATGCTCTGTGCCCCCAGCCACGGACCTGACAGTGGGGAAGATCTACGCGGCCATGATGATCATGGAGTACTACCGGCAGAGCAAAGCTAAGAAGCTGCAGGCCATGCGTGAGGAGCAGGTATGGCTCAGGCCCTGACAGCTCTCCCCGCGGACATTCCTCCCTCTGGGGTCACCCAGGCTGGGAGACTGTACCTTCCTTGTCACCATGAGGACCGTCCAGAACAGTGGGGTGTAGCCACGCCCCAGGGCAAGTCATTGGAAAGTAAGGCATAACCTGGGTTAATTCATCTGCTCCACCAACACTTACTGGGCGCCTCCTGTTGTCAGGCACTGTTCTCAGCCCTAAGGGTGCAGCTGTGAGCAAAACAGACCAGAAGCCCTGTTGTGGAAATTCCAATAACGACAAAATGACTAAATGAGATCGCGTAGCAGAACATAAGCACCGTGGGAAAGAGTGCCTGGGGGAGAGGGGTGCAACTTTAAATGGGTGGTCAGGGGAGGCCTCCCTGAGGAGGTGGCTTCTGAGCAAAGACTTCAAGGAAGAGAAAGAGTGAGCCACACAGACACCTGGGGGAAGAACATTCTGGGCGGAGGGAACAGCCACTGCAAAGACCCTGAGGCAGGACTGTGAGTTTGAGTTTTGGAAACAGCAAGGTCTTAGGTGCAACAGAGCAAGCAAGAGGGGCAGCAGGAGGAGACGAGGTGGTAATTATGCATGACCTTGGGGGCCCTTGCGGACAACTTTGACTTTTGCTCTGAGTAAGGGGGCTCCTACCGGGAAGTGACCTCTTACAGGGGTCGATGTGCGCCCTCTGGTGGCCGTGGGGAGTAAGGGCTGGAGCGGGGAGACTCGAGAGCAGGATACTGCACTGGTTAAGGTGGGAGGTTATGGGGCCGGACCTGGGTGGTGGCCGTGGAGATGTAAGAAATGACCCCATTCTGGATGGATTTGGAAGAAAGAGGCTAGTAGGCTACTGATGGACCAGACCCTCCACAGCCTCCCTCACCCCCCACCTATCCCTAACACACACACACACACACACACACACACACACGCACACACACTCTGCACACGCTGCTCTCTGCCTCCCCAGAACCGGACACCTCTCATGTTCCAGCGCATGGAGCCCCCGTCACCAACGCAGGAGGGGCAGAACGCCCTCCCCTCCACCCAGCTGGACCCCGGAGGAGGCCTGTGAGTGTCACTCTGGCTAGGAGGAGGGATGGAAGGGCAGGGAGTGCCCGTCCCAGGTACAGAAGCCCCCAGAGTGCCCACTGCCTGTGTCTCCCGTGCAGGATGGCTCATGAAAGTGGCATCAAGGAGAGCCCTTCCTGGGTGACCCAGCGAGCCCAGGAGATGTTCCAGAAGACGGGCACCTGGAGCCCGGAGCGAGGGCCCCCTACTGACATGCCCAACAGCCAGCCCAACTCTCAGGTGCCTCTGTCCTCTCGCTGCCCCACTGATCACGGCCTGGGCAGTCCAGGAGGGTGGGGCCCAGGCCTGAAGCTCCACGCACACCGGGCTGCCCCTGGGGTACGTGTGCCCAGCCCCGGGGCTCACCCGGCCTTGCCATCTGCCCTGCAGTCTGTGGAGATGCGAGAGATGGGCCGAGATGGCTACTCAGACAGTGAGCGCTACCTCCCCACGGAAGGCCAGGCCCGGGCGGCCTCCATGCCCCGCCTCCCAGCAGAGAACCAGGTGAGCGCTTTCACCCACCCCCCTGAGGGGGACCTGGGCCCCAGAGGCCCTGCCTCCTGAAGCCCAGGGCACCTCCTTCCTCCTCCGGGATGCAGGCCCCGTCCTCTGAGCTCCTCCTAATGGAGGGCAGAGAGAAAGGGGCTCCCCTGGGCAGGGTGCAGTAGCCACTGCCAAGTGGTTTGTCTCTGCCCTGTTTGGGGGTGCTGAGGCGGGAGGATGTGGAGGACACATGGGGGTGTGGGAGGTGATGCGTGAGACTGCAATCAAGAGTACAAGCATGCACACACGTGCACACAGGCATGCCCACACATACACATACACATATGTGTGTTTTCATACACATGAACTCGCTTGCACAAGTAGGTCTGCTTTCAGAAACCTGGCAGGTCCTAGGACGTGGTGGCAGAGTCTGGGGAAGGCCCGGGACAGCTTGGGTTTGTCCTGTCTGGTCTCCGTGGGGGCTGCTGGGGAGGGGCAGGGCCGTGTGCCTGATGTGTGTCTGTGTGGCTGCTTTTCCAGCTGCAGGGCCCTGGGAAGGAGGAGGGTATGCGGGTCCCAATGCCCCGGCCCATGGGGACTGAAGCCAGAAGCATGGCTGGCTGTCCACCTGGCCCAGGAGGTGGGGCAGCATGTCTGACCACAGGGCTGCCGTGTGCTGTGCCGGCTCATCTGCACGGGGTGGAAGGCTGCGCTGTGCCTGGCTGGGCCGGGGTCTCCCAGGGGCCTGGCCTTTGGCTGTGGGAACCTGAGTGGGAAGCACCCAGACTGCATGTGGCTGCCCAGCCCTATCCTGCCAGCCTCTGCCCCCCAGGACTTAGCTGCTGGGCCCTGGGAGAGGGTTGAGACAAACCCAGCTGATGGCCACCTCCCCACACTATCCCCCACCCCCAGCTTTGAGTGTCAGCCGGAGCCAGGGCTGGAGGCATTGCATGAGGCAGAGCCGGGGGCCAGGGGCCTGTGGCTACACCATCCCATCTGTCCATCTCTTGCCTCTGCCATCTGTCTGTCTGTGGTGTCTCCTGTCTGTCTCCTCTGTGCCCCTGGGGGGACTGCTGGCTGGGCCAGGGTTATCAGTTCCCAGGGACTTTAACCCCTCTCTCCCTCCCTCCATTCTCCCCCTCACTCCTCAGGTCTATGCACCACCTCTCGCTCCCCCTCTTGGCTTTTATATTTATTTTCTTCTTTCTGTTTTTTCTGTGTGCACCATCCCGTGGGGCTGTGACAGAGGAGAAGGGGCCGGCCACGTGGGAATAACCTCAGTGTATGTACCGCCCGCCCGTCTGCCACCAGCTGGGCTCTGGCCCCCTCTTCCCGCCCACCCCCCCTCGGGGGAGTCCTGTCCTTTCGGACTCCATCCTTTCTTTGCAGACAACACCCCCTCCCTCCCTGTGGAGACCTATCCTCCTGTGTTCTGTTCTCTGTGTGCCCATGTGCCCTGTGGGGTGGCCCTTCTTCACCCCTCTTCCCCTTCCCCTCCTCCACCCCTTTCTCTTCAGAGCCCCGCATTCCAAGAATCCTGAACGATGCCCCCACACCTGGCCCACTCTTTTTCATTTCCCTGCCCACCCCTGACCCTCTGGTCTTGCAGCCCTGTGTCCCTTAAAACCCCTGCCTCGGGCATGCCCCCAGCCACTCAGCTGGGCTGGACTCTAGGGAATGTCCCCCGGCTCCTCTTCCTCTCCTCTCCCAGCTGCAGAGAACCAAGGGTGGGGGGACTGGGAGGAGGGACTTAACCCCGGTGGGGTGGTGCAGCACGCACAGGTTCCCAGCTGCAGGCTGAGGATGAGAAGGCAGGTTTCCCAGGACCTGAGTGTCAGGGCAGCCCCTCCGGTGGGCAGGAAAGCCCAGACCCCACTGGCCAAAGGGGTCAGTGATTGGGGTGCTGGGTGCCTGGCCCTGAACCTGTAGGCCTCACAGCCTCCAAGAGAGCAGGCAGGGGTGAGCAGGGCAGGCTGCCCAGTGCCCGGTTCCCAGGTTTGCACTCGGGGTGAGCACAGCTCTTCTCTTCTGCCAGGCTGCATGTCCGTGGCCGGATGCCCAGGGCGTAGAGGTGCCCCTGAGAGTGGTCCTGAGAGGCAGCAGGGATGGATCAGAGGCTCTTGGCCAGAAACCCGGATGGGCCTGGGAGGGGACAGAGGCACCCCGGGGCCCTAGGTGATCGGGCCCCACCACCCACCACCCACCCCCACCCGGACCTCGGCCTGAATGGTCACAGCCCATCACTGATGGCTGATAGGGCCGGACAGGTGGGGCCAGCCTCTGACTCCAGCCACTGACCTGTCTTCCCCAGACCATCTCAGACTCCAGCCCCATGAAGCGCTCGGCCTCCGTGCTGGGCCCCAAGGCCCGGCGCCTGGACGACTACTCCCTGGAGAGGGTGCCGCCAGAACAGCTCCGTGACCGTGACCGTGGCCACCGGGCCTCCGAGCGCTCCTTGGGCCGCTACACGGATGTGGACACAGGTGGGCCACCCTGCAGGGCCCAGGAACCGAAGGCTATGCCAGGGGACAGGGGAGGGGAGAGGGGAAGAGAAAGCAGAGGTGGGGAGACACAGAGAGAGGGCTGGGTGGCACCCGGCTGGGCTGAGGGAGCCTGGGGACTGGACCCCCAAAACCCTCGGGGCCAGAGGAAAGCACTGCTTTTAGGACCCACAGACCCTCTTGGTGGCCTCCTGTGTGCATGTCCTGCCCCACCTCATGGCCTTCTGTCTGTCTGACGCCCTCCCGGCCCAGGCTTGGGGACAGACCTGAGCATGACCACCCAGTCGGGGGACCTGCCGTCAAAGGAGCGGGACCAGGAGCGGGGCAGGCCCAAGGACCGGAAGCACCGGCAGCACCATCACCACCACCACCACCACCACCCCCCGCCCCCCGACAAGGAGCGCTATGCCCAGGAGCGGCCTGACCACCGGGCCCGAGCCCGGGGCCAGGGCTGGTCCCGGTCACCTAGTGAGGGCCCCGAGCACATGGCACACCGGCAGGTGGGTGTGGCAGGAGTTGCCCCCAGACCGAGCCAGGGGGGGACCAGGAGAGGAGGGTGGCCCCCACGCCCCACGGCCACTCTGGGCAGGGTCCTCACTCCCCACTGTGACCTCTGACCCTGCCCACCACTGGGCTCCTTCCCAAGCCTAGGGGGGCCTGGGTGAGGGTGGACCTCGCCTCCCGCCACTGTGGCCCCCCACTCTGCCCCAGCCCCTGCCGCCTGCCGCCCCCCTGCCTGCAGCTGCTTCCTCTTTGGTTGTGGATCACGTTTTGCGTTCTGGCCAGCCCAGTCCCGCGCTGGCTGCCGCTGCCTTGCGCTTTCCTTTAACCCGGCTTCCGTTTTTGTTCCGATTATGATTTCTGTCCTCTGGACGCCTGTGAGTAATTTTTGAAACTTCTGCTATTTTAACCCCGAAACTTACAAAACTCCATTTCTCATTTCTCTTTTCACTTTGTTGTGTTGGTTTTTGACTTCCCCCGCCCTCCTTGTCTCTCTCCTCCTCCCCCTCCTCCCCCACTCCCTCCCCTTCTCCCTCTCCTCCCCTCCTCCCGGTGGCTGTTGCTTTTTTCCTTTTTTTTC